ATAATATCAGCCGCGTCATGTTACAATAGATAAAGTGAAATACTAAACTGGAAATTAGATAACCATCTAAAGTATAAATGTGGTTATTGCTTAATTGTTTTCAGTAGTGTTCCCTGTTGCAAGGTCAATATATCAAGTGTGGTTTGAGAAAAAGAAATTAGATTTGTCAACTCGTAATTTTCCTTCAAATTTTCTTCCTTGTATAGTCTGATTTTATTGACCTGTCAATTATGAATACATTATGGCACTCATCTTAATATCCGATACCACTTCGGGTCTGTCCGTATAGATTACGAGAATTAATTTGGAGTATATGACTAATGTTTTGAAACACTATCTGAATGTTAATGTTTTGGTTATACTGTCGGTTGAGTGATTAACTCATCTATTAGAGGTCTATGGTTCGATCCATACTTTTGCAATTGTTTTTTTATACTCATTCTTTCTTTATTTGTGAAGTTGCTTAAATGAATAGGGCTTGCAAAATAGTCTAAACGAATATGGAACCACTTAGAACCACATATTTTTCTGTTTTGTATTGAATTTTATGGCATTGAAATCACAGGTGGCAGTATCGGTGTTTGGACACCACACCTCTATCTGCCCCTGGACCCCTACTACAACCTTGGAAAAAAATTCAACACTCTACGGCTTACTATAAGGTACTAAATAAAACACCACCGACAAAATTTTATAAAAAATACTTTTTGCCACTATCAAAATTATAGTTAAAGAAAGGTGAAAAGCCTACTATATGTCCATTTCCCAAAATAATGTGGAACACGGGAAATCGTCGATTCGGCGACTTAAGCGCATCCCGGTGGGATTTCGCTTCCTCATTTTAACATCAATAAAAAGAATAAAAACTCCACGGCTTACCTAATTCATGTTCAACGAATATCTATATTCTATCGATTTTTTTCTATTTCACGGTATTTTTTTACTTGTCGCTGTCATTTTGGATTCTGATACCTGTGTGATATACGCTATCTGATTGGACATCCATATTGACATGTATGAAGTATGTAAGATACCCGGATGTAAAGCTTTATATATCACTTAAGGTAGTACACCCCTAATGGGCACTATAAGGAATTGTGAATTTGACAACATAGGACTGTTATATGCCTTAAATGTCACACGTATGCAAAATTTAAACAAAATTTACCGTGTGGTTAATGAGTGAAGGACATTTTTATGAACTAAAACTTTGCCATTAGAAGGGATTTTTTCAGAAATTATGAAACACTAAATAATCTATAATATCATCATTATGAAAAATGTTTTCCTTTTGCTCATTGTTAAGAAATAGATTATGGCATTTAGGTAACAAATTAAACAAGCAAAAGGATTGTTTTTAAACGAAATGTTTTTAATATGTATAAAAATGTAACCCTACCCCACCCACTTTTAACACTAATTTGACCATTTCCATATGTAAAAAGCCTTATTTAAAATATCCCTAAAATTTTCCAAAATGAGGGACTATTTTCAAAGTTTGCCTAAATTTTCTTTAATGTTTATTGGTTGGTCTTGCAAAATACAAAATACTTTTACCGTTTAGTTTTTATTTTATTAAACTTTGAATATATCTGGTATCATATTTGCTATTAAATTTGGCATTATTTAGTAAATAAATACCTACAATAATTATATAATTAAACCAAAACACTTTTTTCTTCCATAGGGGTCGGAGAGATTAATAAAAAATGTTAAAAAGAAAAAAAGAAAGAAAAAAAATTGCCCCTTCTGGGGTTTGAACCCACGCCCCCTCAGTTTCAATACTTTTTACAGTGATTTTAGCCTATTTGAATACTCTTCAAAGTGGAGACAGTGCATTAGGGGTGTACTACCTTAAGTATGTGTGTTTCATTTATCACTACATTTTTGTCGGACATTTTTTTACGTATTTCTTTCATAGAAATGTGTCACTTGTATTATAAATAGCTTACAGTGATGTTTAAAGGGAAAGTATCAGATTGTAATAATTATGTTATTAATAGTTAAAGAGTTAGTTCCCTTACAATATGGATCTGTACCAAATGTTATATCAGATTATATTTTGCTGCGTGTTTCGCCTAGTATTTCAAGGCCTAGTATTTCTTATTTGTTTTTCTTACTTTAGATTTAAGAGAAATTATTTGGTTCGATTATATAGGAAGCTATAAGCTTTATCGAATATGTTCGTTGACCATATCAATACGACAATGAGTGTAAAGTTTCTTACTTAGTGGAACAACGACTTGCTCCTGGCAGGATCTGATTCCGCACGACTAGCGATCCTTATTTTTTCTTTGTATACTTAATTTATCTTGCGATATTTCCGTGCTTATTGAGACTTTGTTCTATTCAGGTATAGACTAATAAATCTTCCTCCATAACAACATGTGTATATGACCGTTTTCGGACATACATTGCAGGAGTGTTTTCGTGATTCCGTGGTACCACGCTGGATTAGTAATCAAGAGGCCGAAGGTTCGATCACAAGCGATGCCATTAAAACTAATTGTCTTTTGGATGAGGCCTTATAAAAGTGAGTTGTATCAATTGTCTACGCCGAGCATATTTAAGAATCATGACCACATCTGGAATGGGACAATTGATGTATCATAAATCTTCAGGGTCGTCTTCAGCCGACACGAAGTACCGAAGAGATGCAGTTAATCAAGCTATATTAAAAGTTCGGATATACATTTGGTGTCATTTCCACTGTGTTTGGTCCTCATTTCTTCGTTTAATCATTAAAAAGTACTTAGCCTATATGCTAGCATATATGACCGATCTTATGCGGATAATTTGACAATGTTAATTGAAAAATATTGTAAAATCTAGATTGATCTATATAATGTATTTGGCAAAATCTAGATGGCTAATAATGATTTATTCGGCTAAATATATATGCTTAACATATTATCTATTTGGCGAAATGTAGATGGCTTACATATGATTTATTTGGCAAAATTCAAATGGCTTATATATTATCTATTTGGCAAAATATAAATGGGTTACAAGTGATTTATTTGGCAAAATTAAGATGGCTTTATTTATTTGGAAAAATCTATATGGCTAACATATGATTTAATGGCAAAATCTATATGACTAACATATTATTTATTTGGCAAATTCTAGATGGCTGCTAACATATTATCTAGTTGGCTTCAATTGAGTTCAATTTTCACAACTGAGCAAATCTAATCATACATTCGTCAAGGTAGTATTTTATACGGCTCAGTGCACAGCTGGTCATTACTTTGCAGCCATTTTACACAAGCGATATTTTACCGAGAGACACCAAATGACTATCTGATAACATTCTTATGATCGTTATTCGCGTACATTTATTATTCAATACATTTTAAAATTTGGACGAAATGGTGGGCTCTTGACGTTAGAAATTGTGATAAAAATTAATTAAACCCGTTTAAATGTATTGACAGCGGAATTCCGTTACTAAATATAGAAACGAATTCGCGGCAAAGTGCTCAGTGGAGTATTGATACAGTAACGCCTAGTAAGAGCGGGAACCAAACAAGGAAAATAGTAAGGCACTTCCTTATATGGTTCCGCGTTCGTCACTTACAAAATACGGTTTTTTTATCCGTTGAAGCGTATGCGCGCTTCAAAATTTGCATGTATTTTACATAGAATTATTATAGGTATATATTCTAAATTGATTTATTTGCATAAACAATGTCATCTAGTGACACAGTTTAATTCTGTTCACTTTTCCTGGTATCTAAAAAAAATATAAAAAAAATAAATTATAAAAATATATATATATTAAAAAGTTATAATTGTACACTAAAATTTAGATACAAAAGATAATTGTACAGTGAAATACATATATTATCAATCACAAATAAAATACAATATCATGATTTACCTAACACAGAATGTTTTATTCCGGTAACATATGGTGTCTATTGATTATTATTACATTATATATATTACTTTTATACTGCCGAACAAAACTTACTTCCAACTAATGTGGTACAGCAAAATAAATGTTAACACTTGGTATGAATATGTAAGATTTTCTTTGTCGGATATATATAAAGTACACGTGTACCAACTTAAAATATGAGTTTGTTAACAACCACGTCTAAGCGTTTATACTGAGATGCGATTTTAACGCGACAATGCAGGATATTGTTGGCAGTTAATTCTAAACGTATGACAATGTGACTGTGTAATTTACAGTGTAATTTACAATGCGACTGTGTAATTTACATAGCGACTGTGTAATTTACAATGAGACTGTGTGATTTACAATGCGACTGTGTAATTTACAATGCGACTGTGTGATTGACAATGCGACTGTGTAATTTACAATGCGACTGTGTTATTTACAATTCGACTGTGTGATTTGCATTGCGTCTGTGTAATTTATAATATGACTGTGAAATTTACAGTAAGCTGTGTGATTTACAATGCGACTGTGTGATTTACAATGCGACTGTGTAATTTCAATGCGACTGTGTGATTTACAATGCGACTGTGTAATTTACAATGCGACTGTGTGATTTACAATGCGACTGTGTGATTTACTACGCGACTGTGTAGTTTACAATTCGACCGTGTGATTTACAATGCGACGATGTGATTTACAATGCGACCGTTATTTCGAGAAGTAAGAACATCCACTTAAATCATAATTATATTATAGATACATATATTTGATAAAGGAACAACCTGTATAGTTCGGTAACGGTTTACACCCCATGTACAGTACAGTAACGGTTTTAACCCTTCCGATGTTTTAATATTTCAAATTTTCAGCTTAAAGGGTCATATACGGTTTTTAAAACCTTTGGCAAAATTGCACTCAGAAAAAAAGTCAAATAACAATACATTTATTTGATATCGTGACATAAATGATATTGTTCATACAATTTTCTCACCATTTAATCCCGAGAGATGAGGGATGCTAGAATTATTTATAACACTATATTACATGAAGTTATAAAGCTCTGTATATATACTGTATATTGATCGAGAGCGTGCAGATAACAGTTTAAGTCATGATGTATTTATATATGACCTCAAGTTTTCATATTTCTGTTGTCAGTTTTTATAGATAACTAATCTATACAGTTAAAGTTTTAATTCAAACAGTTTTAGGTCAGCGGCAAATATCTGATGTTTGTGTTTTAAATAATAAACTCTTGGGATTTTTATTCATATACTAAGGTTTGTACATTTTCAACTATACCTCCGTTTTTGCTGAAACCTAAATATGATTTTCTCTGACAAACTTTATATCACATGTACACCGTGATATGCCTCTAGTTTGAACTTGACAAAATATAGGACGTCGCTTCAGTCAATCATGCTGCCGTTAAAAGTTTTATTCGCTCATCTGTGTAATACTTTAAAGCTACCAGCCTCCAGATGAGCAAAATATTTCAAGAAAATCAATATTGAGAAAACTATACTCATATTTTAATAAAGGTAAAAATATTCAAGATCTAATTGATATATTTTAAATGTTATATGCAGTATTTTATCACCATATTTCTACTCCGTTACTAAAACACTTAAGGGTTGTTTTTGCATATGTTGACCACGTTTTGGTAATTTTCTTGGATTGTAAGTTGCCGATTGCAATATGTTAATTACTTTATTTGTTCATCTCACAATATTTTACTTTTAAATACATTTCCAAAATTTTCACGAAAATTAAACATGAATCTGTAGGCGTGCTGCCTTAATACATGTATAGTTTTTAATAAACTAAACAACCAGTATACACCCAGACAAGCTTTCACATCCATGTTGTCAGACCAGCTTGCTCATCCATGTTGTCAGACCAGTTTGCATATCCATGTTGTCAGACCAGTTTGCATATCCATGTTGTCAGACAAGCTTGCATATCAATGTTGTCAGACAAGCTTGCACATCAATGTAGTCAGACCAACTTGCATAGCAGTGTAGTCAGACCAGGTTGTTCATTCATGTAGTCAGACCAGCTTGCTCATTCATGTAGTCAGACCACCTTTTGCATCAATGTAGTCAGACCAGCCTGCTTACATATCCATGTTGTAAGTCCAGCTTGCTCATCCTTGTAGTCAGACCATCACGCTTATCCATGTAGTAAGTCCAGCTTGCTCACCCATGTAGTAAGATCAGCTTGCTCATCCATGTAATAAGACCAGCTTGCTCATTCGTATAGTCAAACCATCTTATATATCAATGGAGTCAGACCAGCTTGCTCATTCATGTAGTCAGACAATCTTACATATCTTTCCATGTAGTCAGACCAGCTTGCACATCTATCCATGTAGTAAGACCAAAATCCATATTCATGAAGTCATACCAACTTTCTCATCCATGTAGTCAGACCAGCTTGCATATCCATGTAGTCAGACCAGCTTGCCCATCCATGTAGTCAGACCAACTTTCTCATCCGTGTAGTCAGACCAGCTTGCTCATTCATGTAGTCAGACCAGCTTGCACATCTATGTAGCCAGACCTGACTTTTCACTGAAGGATTGTCATTTGTTTGTTATTTTGGTATCAAAATCCATAAACTTTTAAATGGACTGTCTTAATTTAAAACCGGGCAAAAATCATTAAACGAATTCCCCTGTGATGCAACGCTTTTCTTGTTAGCTTTCCTATCTTAAAAAGTTGTTTAAAACTTACCAAATATGGGAATCTAAAAATTGAAATACTAAACCGCAAATGGTTAAAGTTATACATCCAACTTGAAATATTAAATGAGCATCAGAATGTACAAATTTGGACAATTCAAGTACTATTTGTGTAGAATAGACTTTGTTTATGACTAATTATAAGACTCTGATCGTATTGTCAGCTCTGCCGAATCCTTTTCCGAAGTGTTACGGAAAGGGCCGAGAAGATACTGTTTGTTATCAGACGTGGTTAAGACTTGATGATTTATAAGTAATGTTTAATTATCCCGATTGATCTTGATTGGTTTATTATCATTTGCAAATTGTTCATAATTAGCTACATTGTTCATTAAGATAAACAAATGAATACAAACTTTCATGTTTTACGTTTAACAGAATCTCTGACAAAACTCCAAATGCAGACACGGTGTTTGACCTTGGTGTGAATTTATATTAGTTAGAATTTTTAAGTTAACACAGCATGAGTACGTTACGGAATGCCGTTAGGGCCATCGCCTATGAATGTGTTGATCTGAAACGCGATAGTCGATAGTACGATGGTGAAAACGCGAAATCACGAAACTACGATGGTGAAAACGCGAAAGCACGATGATGAAAACGCGATAGTCCGATGATGAAATCGCGACAGTACGATACAACGATGATGAAAACGCGATAAACTATCGAGTTTTCACCATCGTACTGTCGCGTTTTCACCATCGTAGTTTCGTGATTTCGTGTTTTCATCATCGTACTGTCGAGTATCGTGTTTCATATCAAACCATTCATAGGCGATGGCCCTAACGGCATTCCGGAATGCCGTTAGGGCCATCGCCTATGAATGTGTTAATCTGAAACGCGATAGTCGATAGTACGATGGTGAAAACACGAAATCACGAAACTACGATGGTGAAAACGCGATAGTACGATGATGAAAACGCGAAAGTACGATGATGAAATCACGACAGTACGATGGTGAAAACGCGATAGTACGATGATGAAAACACGACAATACGATGATGAAAACGCGATAGTACGATGGTGAAAACGCGATAGTACGATGGTGAAAACGCGATAGTACGATGATGAAAACACGACAGTACGATGATGAAAACGCGAAATCAAGAAACTACGATGGTGAAAACGCGACAGTACGATGGTGTAAACACGATAGTTTATCGCGCTTTCATCATCGTAGTATCGTACTGTCACATTTTCATCATCGTACTTTCGCGTTTTCATCATCGTGCTTTCGCATTTTCACCATCGTAGTTTCGTGATTTCGCGTTTTCACCATCGTACTATCGACTATCGCGTTTCAGATCAACACATTCATAGGCAATGGCCCTAACGGCATTCCGTAGTACGTATGGTGGCTGATTTAGAACGCTTTTGCGCGTCGTGTTGTCGCTAGTGACAGTACGACAAAGCGCAAACGGCGTGTTGTCGAACTTTTGTCTTGTTGTCTTGTCGCTTACGATGCACGCCAAACGGCAAGTTATCGTGCGGCGTGTTGTCGCGATGTCAAATTGTCGCTCTGCTTAAATTGAAGGATTGGCTGATAAGCCGCACGATGGGGACATCTCGACAACGCGCCGCACGACAACGCGCCGATTGGCGTGCTTCGCTAGCGACAGGGCGACAAGACGACAGTGCGACGATTAGCACATTTTGCTAGAGACAAGACGAAAAGGCGATAACGATGTAGGTTGTGTTGTCGACATCGACAACGTAACACGCAAAGTGTACCAAATCATTCACCATAGGTATGTGTAATATTTGTTATCTTGAGAGGTTTAAAAAAAATCAACGATATAGTTTAAAGCCCCGGCATGCTGAGAAATGTCTCAACAGCCGTTGTAAACAGCAATGGATTTATTTAATTTAAAAAAAATTAACCTCGATATAAATGTGAACATATTATATTGATTCATAATGCCCGGTCAATTATTTCATATGATAGGTTCACGACTGGTCATTCAACCAAACAACCTTCTTATATCAGTCCATGTAGCTCGTGTTAAGATGATAAGGTTGCTATTTAAAATAACGTAGTAAAATAAACTATGACACTGAAATTAAGATTTAAATTTTGGAAATTCAGGAGAAGGGCTCTATTTATCCTATAAGTAAATCCATCCGGTCTATGACTAAATTCTGGACACAGCATATCCTGTACAGACATGTTAACTATAATTCTATCCAATTCAATTTAGCACAAAAATATAAGACATTAACCCTTGAACTTTTTTCTGCAGCTTTTAATTTGTGTTAGCACTATCAAATAATCCAAATAACAACTATTGTGAATTCTTGTGCATAGCACTTCCTGAAACCTTCCATACAGAAACAAGAAAAGCATTGATGCAAAGCATCAATGGGCGACGCCAAAAGAATTTGATCCAGGTTTGCACCTAAATACTTAACAAAAGATGTGTACTTTATAGCAGTACCATTTCATGTGACCTGGAGGCTTGGCCCAGTTTATGTTGAAACTTAAACCAAAAAAGAATAGACTCTGTCTTGCCAAGATGCAAAGACAATTTATAGTCAATAAACCAATCTTAAGATTTACTTTACCAGATACAAGGATACCTGAGTCATCATCATATAATGACAGGCACAAGTATCACACCTGGGAAGAAAAAATATGACCAGATTAATAAAAAATCTGTGTTCATCTTAAAAGTGTCAAAAACCAAAAAAAAATGTAAATAATGACCCCCTTTAAAAATATACTATTAACTTAAAGTATATTTTTAAAGGGGGTCATCATTTACATTTTTTTTGGTTTGTGACACTTTTAAGATGAACACAGGTTTTTTTTATCAATCTGGTAATATTTTTCTTCCCAGGTCTGATACTTGTGCCTGTGCATATAATAAAAGCTTATTGCTTAGGGTTGCAGACATGTCATACATAAAAGAGGACCTAAAATGAACATCAGGGGGACACCATAGGTATTCAGAGAGAAGGAGTACGAGCCACATTCACCAGCTGCTATCATATATAAGACTTGAACCATGCAAGAATGTCATTACATATGGCAGATCCTCCACCAGTAAAGCTGGAACGTCGCGATATGACCTATACTGTGTCGATGTGACGTAAAACCCAAAACAAAACAAACAAAAAACATATGGCAGATGCTTGAAGAGATGAAGAAGAAGAAAAAAGAACTTCTTCTTGTGCAGTTTAGTGTGATCAACTGTACCAAATGCTTTTTGTAGATTTAAAAGTATCAAGCAAAACTGCCTTTGTCCATTTCAAATTAAATGCAATCTATTAAATGAATCAAACATGTGTCAGTTGAAAAACCACTTCTAAACCCTGACTGAAACTGCCTGGTCATGACTCGAACCCATGACTTTCAGAAGACCAACTGAACTATCCGGCCGGCTACACATTTTCTCTTTAATAATGAAACAGTTCTAAACCTAAACCTTTTTCCCCACTATATTGATTCATGTACTTGAATTTCTGATGTTTACAGAGCATAGTGAATTAAACTCATGGTTATTTGCAGTAACAGGATGAGAAAAAACTTTCAGCTTGACCAGAACTCAAACCTGTGACCCACAGAATAATGTACCGCGGCTGTAGCGATTGAGCTATCTGGTCGCTTACACATTTTCTCCCCTAAATAGTGAACAGTTCTAAACCGTGACAGATATTTAGATTTTTAGATTAACAGATAATTAATTCTTAATTAATAAATAAGAAAAAAAACCTTACATACTCATAGTCTTAATTAAAATAACAATTTATATAATTATTATTGTATAATTATTTTTACTAAAAAGGCTAAGACAGTTATTGGTTGTGCCATTATTTATAACAGGTCAATTTGAAAGAGAATATAACTGTGCTAATACATGTACAATATCTATGATAAGAAATTTTATGAAGGCTGATTTGTATTTTACATCAAGGGCACCGGGCAAAAACATGAAAAATGCAACAAACGAACCACTTTGTGGTAGATTGTATTTTCATGTTTTCATCTGGCGCCCGGTTACTTTTTGTACTTTGTTGGTTTTCATGTGGCACAAATCACCCACTATAAAATTTAGTGTACAAATCTATTCAAGGACAAGTATCAATCTACTCTATGAAAAGTCTGTTGTCGGGTTGACTCAGGAGACCTGGAGATTGAGGCCGGTGTCCCTCCATTACAAATAGATAAGGCAGAAGCTGTCCTTTTCAAACTATGCACATGTTAGAAAAAAAAATAGAATAACTATTCAGAACATGATTTTTTGAGGCTTTATCAATTATATTGCTTGATCCAAGTTTCAGGACATTTTCAATCAATACATGTATTATCATTTATAACTTTAAATGAAAGTCTCATCTCTTTAATAATAATGACATAACTGCAACTCTTTAAATTCAGAAATATTATAAGTCTCATCATACCAATATACTAAGATATAAATGTATGCACATAACATTAATAATTCCAAGTTTCTATTAAATAAATATGAAATATTGGGTATATAAAGCCAGTAAAAGTATATATATATCAATATTCACTCATCAGGGCCTCTATGCTTTTGATGACCTTACAACTGGTAAATTTTATAAAACAAAAATTGTAATCAATACCTAAGATAGACAGAAAAGAACAAATAATTTAGTAAACATGAGTTACTTCCCCTTGAAATAAAGAAAACATGAAACCCAAAAGAACACCCTAAACATCAAAATTAATAAATGTTGCAGGCTCATTTTAATTATGCCATGCAAATTAATGGTAAAATATTCATAAAAAAGTAGATGGCCATGTGACAGCAGTAATTGCAGAAAATCGGATAGCTGTCAACATCCGGATACTGGTACACTTTGTAAAAACAACCATTCTGTTCAACAGATAAACGTAATATGGATAAAATCAATAGGATAATCGTTTACAACAGTCCATTACCTATCCTAATACTCATTTGCAGGTGAACTTTCTTCTTGTAGGAAAGTTTTGAAAATATATAAATGAATGAGCATCAATGTAGACCACAACGATATTCGAAATCCGGGTTTTAGTATTGTCAATAAAACAAAGGGACAAGCTGTTAATCTGAGCCTGCAATTTCGTGAAAATAATATCACAATGCACATGCTTTTAATATAAAGTTATTAAATACAAATATAACAACATATTTGTTTACTTTATTTTTACGAATCAAAATAAATATAATTAACACAACATGAAATTAACTGCTAATAATAACAGCTCCTTCCATAGGCCAAAATAAAAAGTATTCCATAAAAGACGACGCCGCTCACCGGCGTCGCCAATGAAGTCACACACACAAAAACAAAAAAGTACACATACTCAGAAATGCCACTTCATATTTACAATTAGAAAAAGAATATAATTAAAATATAAAAAGTCTTACCAAGGATGACTTGAAATGACTTCAAAATTTAAGAGAACTACTTTTTTCTACAGCGGGTTGGGTCTAATTCAGTACCGGGTATAAAACAGTCGATATACTATATTATACTTGTTGCAGATGGAATGGCGTACGGTAGAAATACGTGATGAGAAGGGTGACGGGTTTGATACAGTACAATGTGAAGATATGGTGTTTCCTAAACAGTTCCTACATATACAACCAGATGTCAGGATGAAAGATATAAAGGAATTTAAATATCGTGACGGCGATGTTCTTATATGTAGCTACCCGAAAACTGGTAAAATATTTATTTTTATCGTTTTTTATATTAATTCATTAATGATTTACCTTATTTAAAATCATATTCGTTTTTCTCTATGTTTCTTTCTTTTTATTCATCCATCAATTCAAATTATCAATATTTAAATAATGATGATTAGATATAAAGAAAGTTAAGAAATATTCCCCTGCTCATGGTCGATTGTTCAACTTCCATTCACGTTCTAAAACGTTTGTTACATGAGCTGCTTAGTTTAAGCGAGCTAACTTAGAATAAATATAATTAGTTTCACTTTATTCTTATTCAGTACATATATTAATGTAAGGGAAGAGAAATATGATATTTTCCATGATAATAATATGTATTCTCCTGTTTAGATATAGTTATGTTGTGAATGTTCACAATTTACTATAAATATCTTACACTGGATGTAGGTACAGGCCGGACTATCTAGCTCGGGGATAACTGTTTACGGCGGTAAGAAGGCACCGCCGAGTTTCCGCTAGATCTAGATATACCGGTCTGTTACGACAACCGTTGTTTGATTATTTTTTCTAGCATATTACATAGACATCATATTTCATAAAGAAATTACGATAATTGATATTTTAATTCATTGGGCACTTTTCTTCGTATGAATTTACAATTTCAATCAAAACGGCAAAATGACTTTTAGAACGCAATTCATTCAAAAGGCGCGTGGGAATGACGTCATTTAAGGCAAGCGACTCGTCTTGTTCGTTTCTTTTCAACGGTGTAAACAGTAGACAATACTGTCCGATATGCTAGAGAATACTTTTAAAAATTCAAATTTATTATCATAAAACTGACGACCATTTCGTGCGTGTCACTCACTCACGCATGCACGTGCGCACCTGAGCACTCTTATTCATTCATTCACTCATTTATATTCCTATTCAATGTATCTAGGAACTCACTGGGTGTTCAACTTGGTACACTTCTTGATGGCACCAGGTCCAGTAGAACAAAAAATAATGCCGAGTCCAAGACTAATAGATCTACACCCTTTAGCAGAAATAGAACAACTTACAAGCCCACGTGTTGCTATAACTCATCTGAAACCAAACAGACTTCCGGTGGAACATTTGCAAGCGCGCGGGAAAATCATATTGCTTGCCCGCAACCCTCGTGACACCATGGTTTCACACATGTACCATACACAACGTCATGAGGTTTTCAATTTCAGCAAATTATCATGGGACTGTTTCTTTGATAACTGGACCAAAGGACAAAGTAGGTAACACCGCGAACGAATATACTTATCATAAAACTTATCCTTTATATTCCAACGTCTTTAATTTAAAAAAAATCATTAAAATATATATTTTCAAATATGTGTACAGTTTAATAATTAGCATCTAAATGAGATCCATGCATCAATTTTTTCTTTGACATGAATAAACATATTATAATGTCATTAATCAGGGAAATTAGAACAGACATGTTTTTATTAACTGCTTTGTAGACAGTAGACTATTTTTATATTTCACGGACCTTTGTGTATCTGTGGAGAAAAAAGGAAACAATACTATTGCACTTGAACTGTTCATGTATATTGCAGAAGAGCGTAAATAATGCTAGTGTTTATTGTTTTTGCTTTTCAGTCCCGACAGGATCGTACTTTGATTACTACAATAGTTGGGAGAAATCTTTACAAGAACAAAATACAAACCTGAATGTGCATATTGTGTTTTACGAAAACTTGATCAAAGTAAGACGGTTTAAAAAATGTTTGCAAAATTTGAAATTTTATCAAATTTTAAATTTTGTCCGTGAAAACATTATTACTAGTTTTTTTTTAATCCATTTAAAAAAATTTTTTTTTCCCAAAAAATTTTAAAAAATTTATTAGCTTTTCAATTGTCAGTGGGGCCCAACAATATTTGACCTAGATCAGAAAATTGACAAAACAGGAAATTTTGGGGACCTTTTTCCTATGGACAATTTTTTATATGCCACACTACCTGCAAATAACAGGGTGTATTATTTTCAAAATTTTTGATGTACTATATAAACACCCAATAAACCTTTTTAATTTTAATTTTTATAACCGTTCACCTTAAAATTTTTTCTTTTTAAAAACTGTTTTTTCCATTTTATATAAATGTGCTATATATCCATATAATATTACATATGCATTTACCAAACCTTGCTATATTTCCATGCCATAATTAATACTGTATTACAATGCTATTTTTTAACGTGTTATATTACCGTGTATTTTTTAAATCCCGTTTATATACTGTTATATGACGTTTATTTACCCTTTTTTGACCGTTCATTAAAGTTTTAAATTACCGGTTTATATTTATGAAATGCGTGCCTTAAATTTTATTTCTTAAGTTTTAAAAAAAAGTGGCTTTACTTTTTTGTTTTTGTTTTTCTTAACACAGGATGGCCTAGGGGAGCTGAAAAAGTTACAGCAATTTCTTGGAGTGACCAACACCGAGGACAGGTTAAATCAAATACTGGATAGATGTTCATGGCGGAGAATTAAGGTCGATGTTAAAACAGGGGAACAACCGGCGCAGCCAGACCAATCTGAACTTACCAGGAAAGGTTTGTAGTTTAGGGTTACGTTATTTAATTTTTGTTGAATGATGTAATTATGAAACTGTGGTTTTATTAATTTATATCTGAATAAGGAAATGGAACGCGAAACATAATGGAGATTGACTGATCAATGATGGGTTTTTTTAGCAGGCAATAAAAAATATTCCGTTTATTCTGAATTCTCTGTTTGATTGTCAATTAATTTTTGACCGATGTTCATTTTTGAGATCCATATGGGGTTCATACCCCCCCCCCCCCCATTTCCCCCACCCCGCCCGTGTCAAGAGGTTTCAATATATGTATTCAGTTGTGGTGTAACTATATTTTCGTTGGATGAGTAATGTCCCTTTGTCGAATATTCATCTTTTCGATGAGTAACGTCCCCTTTTCGGATCGTTTTTAGGCATACGTTAACTGGCAAAAACCCTACACCATACAGAGCAATAATTTTTAACATCTTAAAAGAGAATAAAGAAAACAAACTAATTTAATTTACGATCTATTTTTAGTAAATACATGTATAAGGTTAAATTTTCTCTTTTTCAGGCGTAATTGGTCACTGGAGGAGTAAATTTACTGTTTCACAAGATGAAATGTTCAACAAAATACTGGAGCAGAAATTTAAAAACAGCATGTTTAACAAGCCTATCTAAGCTTATTTTGACATTGATTCAAATGTATTTTGTTCTTCTTTTTTCTGTCTGTTAGTAAAACACACGGTTTGATTTAATAGTTAATAAATAAATTCACTGACCACTGATAACCAGGATTCAATGACGTCACACATGGACGTCATTATTGTTATTATGAAGTACCTCTAGACGCTTGCAAAATTCTTGATCACAAAATAAACAAATATCATTTTTTTTCTCGCCGATTATTACATTTTTATGCATTTACATACAAAAATCGGTGTGAAAAGATGAATTAGATCCTTTTGTAGTTCATTCCGTTGGGTAAAAAGCAAGATTTTAGCATTTTATCATTCAAGCGCCTTAATTGTCCGGTATATACCTGAATACGGTATTTAGTTTGGTGATCTTTTTTTTTATAGTTTCACTCGTTATTATATTATATTGTTCATGATGCATAACAGTTCTGTAAAATAATCAACATAATTAGAACATACAGTATATATATAAACAATGTATAAAATAGATGCAACAATAGAAAATGAAAAAAAAAACGATTTTTCGAGAAATATTCGAAACAAAGAGCCAATGTGTAAAGTTATACCAAATGAATAACTGACTATATAAACATGTTTGCAAAGTATAGAGCCGGGATACATTCACACCAGTACAGAGCCGGGATACATTCACATCGGTATAGAGCCGGGATACATTAACACCAGTATAGAGCCGGGATACATTCACATCAGTATAGAGCCCGGATACATTCACATCAGTATAGAGCCCGGATACATTCACATCAGTATAGAGCCCGGATACATTCACATCAGTAAAGAGCCGGGATACATTCACACCGGTATAGAGCCGGGATACATTCACAGCAGTATAGAGCCGGGATACATTCACTTAAATATAGAGCCGGGATACATTCACAGCAGTATAGAACCAGGATACATTCACTTAAATATAGGGCCGGGATACATTCACACCAGTAAAGAGCCGGGATACATTCACTCAAATATAGGGCCGGGATACATTCACACCGGTATAGAGCCGGATAAATTCACACCAGTAAAGAGCCGGGATACATTCACACCAGTTTAGAGCCAGGTTAATCTTCACACCAGTATTTTCGGTCCAAGTCATATATTAGTACGTTGATATAACAATGTTCCAAACTAGTTAAGACAGTTTTAAATTCTAAACAGGAAAAGTTCAATCCCTATAAAAGAATACTTCAAAATGATTAAAGACAGTGCATGAAAAGTTCAAAATATACATACAGTAGGGTAATATTTACCATTACAGCCTTTGTTAATGTAATTGTAATCAGGTAATTTTGTTGTTTATTTTATATTAGATCTTTTTCTAATAAATGTTATATGGAAGAATGAAATAGCTTTATGTCACTTATACATTATCCTTAACAAGTTTTTATCTAACAAAATATATGTTCAAATACATTTGTACCTTGTAAGCCAGTTATGACATTTTCATGACATTTGCATGTTCAGTGATAAAAAGAAAACTAGATTCAGTGTTTGAAATTATTTTTGTCCAATAGAATTGCAGAATTTCAAATGAATAGTAACACTTCGTTATTTCGGCAAACTATTATTTTAAATATCCTGTAACACAATTATTTATGGTTTTATATCATAAAATTTAATATGATGCTCAAATAAAGATTGATCAATATTGTTAGTTCCAAAAAGCATTATTTATAAAGATATTGCCGAATTTAACATTTCATATAAGTAAAGGGGGTAGTTAGAAATTTATTTTCTATAAAGTCTAAGTAATTTTTTTCAATAAGAAACACGTTTCCTGTTGTCACAATATGAAACCCCAGAAAAAAGTAACCAATCAACGAACATCTGAATATGATATTTCTATTGCTCTCTTTCTCTGCCGTCACAAGCAAAAGTGAGCCAATCAAGGACATGCCCCTGGACGGTGGGCGGGGGAAAAAAATTTAAAGCCCCTGGATGGAAAACGACCCGAAATATTTATATTCCCGATGCTGTTCATTGGTTTTTTTTTCCCTAGGTTTCCCTATTTGACCCAAAAGGGAACCCTGTTTTTTTTGTTTGGGCTATTTAAACATCAAAAACCCCCTCGGCAATCTGATTTTACTCGGGGGGACCCCCTCCCGTACAGATCCAGATAGCCTTTGTGTTTCGATGGGTCTTTCATTACTTATTGTCCCTTTTCCCGTTTTTTTCTTTCCCAATTTTTATTCAAATAATGATACCCTAGTTAAAAGCCTCCCTTTATGGGAATTTAAAAAAAAACCCGCCAAAAATCGTTTAAACTAAAGTCATGGGGAAAAAAAAAATTGGGAAAAGAAGTTCGTTAAGGCCCATACCCCCTGTTCTTTGTTGTTTATTTATGTTTTATATATATAATGAAACTACACATGATAAAGAATAGATATAATTGTTTGCAGAAGTATTCTCTATACTCAGTCAAATAAGACAGTAGAAATACCTGTCTACAGTAATATGTGATATACATTGTATTTTGTAAATATTCTTATTTACGGTTAAAAAACAACAACAACAAAAAAAACACACACACAAAAGTTGAGAAAGGTTTGTGTCGATAGATATACTTGTTTTATCTCTACTTTTTTTAAAGGCACATTATGCCCCAAAAGATTGTTGTGTTGTCTTATCGTTATACAGATCATTTTAATGCACATTTTTCTTGATTATATCTTATGTTATCTTTTCCCATAAAATAATTTACATTCGAACTAGAAAACAATCAGTTCCTAACACGATTGTGTACAATACATAAATCAAGCTCTTCAAATCCGGAAACTAATATAGCGCATGCGCATCAATATCAAATCAACTTTGCCACAGACGTTTCTTATCGTAAGATTTTTGTTAAGTGAATTAATTACATGTATCTAAAGATATATTTTTAACTTACGAGTAACAATGTGAAAATGACATAAGATTTTATTTACGATTATGTAAAAGTTAATAACTTAAGATAAACTTGTGTGAAAATGTCTGCAGAATTTTGCAACTGTGACTGAGTTAGCTTTGTTACTCTAACTGAGTGGCTACTGTACATTTAGAACCTTGCCACTGTGATTGAGTACCTCATTCGTATGTACAGAACTTTGCCACTGTGTTTGAGTAGCTCGTTCATGTGTACAGAACTTTGCCACTGTAACTGAATGACGTATGTTCAGAACTTTGCCTCTGTGATTAAGTGTCTTATTTATAAGTACAGAACTTTTCAACTATGACTTTATGGCTACAACAAATGTACAGAACTTTGCAACTGTGATTGAGTAGCTCATCCATATGTAAAGAACTTTTCCGCTGTGACTGGGTGACTACTGTATGTTTATAACTTTGGCACTGTGACTGTAGCTTCTACGAAACTACACTGTCTGTTCAGAACTTTGCTACTGCGATTGAGTGGCTTATTCACATGTAAAGAACTTTGCCACTGTGGTTAAGTGACTCATTTGTATGCACAGAACTTTGCAGTCAGTCGTGTAAAGAAGGAAGTGCAAATAAAGATTGTAAATATATGCTTATTTTGTGAAACTTTCGTACATTTAATGTGTTTATAATCATTTGAAGCAAGTGTGCAATCATTTTACGTCCCGCTTTTGATTTAGAGTCAGAGAAGTGGGATTTTCTATTTCTTGTATTTAACTCATAAAGAACATCACGGATAGTTTTATGTAACAAATAATTTCAATTGTAAGCGTGACTTTAATAAGATAAATGAGATAAGAAGTTTCCATTTACAGACATTTGACAGTATCATGATCGTGACTTGCTATCTAAACCTGCCTTAGTTTGATTTCTTCGTTATATATCCGTGGTAAACGCATTGAACCAGTCAAAGTTAAATCGGAGAATAATTCGCTTGAACATCAAAATGAAGTTTTTGTTTGCTTTTCTTATGCTGGTGTCTGCAGGTAAATAAAATATATCGTATTTTTATAATGATGAATTAATTAATTTGCAGCTTATCAGACCTCGATGTCCGCGTGGTTAACATCACACATTTGTATATATATTCGAATAATGCCAGGAAATTTGGATTGTTTTAATTTATGAATGCTAGCTTATAGAATGTCAATGGTTTTACTCAGGATCTCAATTGTGCCTGGAAAAAATGTTAAAAAGATACACTGCATGAACTTTACAGTATCGGTGTTACAAGACAAGTCGGGCTTGACAATCCGAATATCCAGGTTGTTTACTGAAGGTCGGTGGTTCTAGTAAGGTGCCCGCTCGCGCCTGGAATAATGTATGTTTTATAGCGTATTGTTTATTTTACCGTACTACACAGAATTCTTTGACTGCATTGATAACTGCAGCATTCGTGTTTATGTCTTCTTCTTTCAGTATATTGACTCGATTCAGAACTGCAGGATTCGTATTTTATGTCTTTTTTCCACCTTATTTTCTGTATTGATAACTGCAGCATTCGTGTTTTATGTCTTTTTTCCAGTATATTGTCTGAGACTCTCTATTTATAACTTCAGCATTCGTGTTTTATGTCCTTTTTCCAGTATATTGTCTGTATTATTAACTACAGCCTTCGTGTTTATGTCTTTTTTTCCAGTATATTGTCTCTATTGATAACTGCAGCATTCGAGTTTTATGTTTTTTTTCCAGTATAATATCTCTACTCATAACTGCAGGATTCGTGTTTTATGTCTTTTTTTCAGTATATTGTCTGTATTATTAACTGCAGCCTTCGTGTTTATGTCTCTTTTTTTCCAGTATATTTTCTCTATTGATAACTGCAGCATTCGTGTTTATGTCTCTTTTTTCCAGTATATTTTCTCTATTGATAACTGCAGCATTCGTGTGTATGTCTCTTTTTTCCAGTATATTTTCTCTATTTATAACTGCAGGATTCGTGTTTCATGACTATTTCCCCCAGTATATTTTCTCTATTGATAACTGCAGCATTCGTGTTTAATGTCATTTTTTCCAGTATATTGTTTCTATTGATAACTGCAGGATTCGTGTTTCATGACTTTTTTCCCCAGTATATTGACTCGATTCATAACTGCAGCATTCGTGTTTAATGTTTTTTTTCCAGTATATTTTCTCTATTTATAACTGCAGGATTTGTGTTTCATGACTTTTTTCCCCAGTATATTGACTCGATTCATAACTGCAGCATTCGTGTTTTATGTCTTTTTTTCCAGTATATTTTCTCTATTTATAACTGCAGCATTCGTGCTTCATGAATTTTTTCCCCAGTATATTTTCTCTATTGATAACTGGAGCATTCGTGTTTTTATGTCTTTTTTCCAGTATATTTTCTCTATTGATAACTGCAGCATTTGTGTTTTATGTCATTTTTTCCAGTATATTGCCTTTATAGATAACTGCGGCATTCATGTTTTATGGTCTTTTGTCCAATATATTATCTCTTTTGATAGTATATTGATAGTATAATGTCCCTATTCATAACTGCAGCATTCGTGTTTATGTCTTTTTTTGTATGTTTTCTGTATTCATAATTACAGCATTCGTGTATTATTTCAGTATATGCGGAGAACTGTGATCACACGAGTGACTGTAAGTTAGTTGACTGTAATACAGGATTTAGACTGTCATGCTATAGAGATAACGTATGCACGTGTATACCTGACTGTACGTATACCATGTTTCCATTCTTATAATAACCATTCTTATATAAATACCCCAACGCAGAGTTTCATAATGCCATTTAACTTTTAGAAAAAAATAAGTGTTTATTCCAAATTTTTCGTTTTTATATAATTTCTATCCAAAAGTTTGCATTATAAATACTTTATACTGTATACAGAGACTCGTTCCTTGAAGTATCATCCCAACATATCTAATTCTTAGTCGGTTTTAAAGACTTTAATACTGAGTGAAGCCTCTTGTGGATTGAAATTTCAATCAGACTTAAATGTGGTAAATAAATGTTTTAACCAAAAAGTGCAAAATCGACCCGTTTCTATGTGTACTGAAATTATGCTTTATTAAATGAGATAAATTATCACAAGGGAGGTCTTAAAGTTCTTTAGGCAATGGTGTTTAGATGCTAAAATGGAAGATATTCAGAGTTTTTAGAGTCCCGTTAAAATTCATTTTGTCACAGGGTGTGAAATTTATGAAGTCAGACAGTGTTTCAAACCAGGATCCCTCGTAAAACCTTACCCCGGTCCTACCAACTGACACCGGGATTCGAACCAGGTCTTTTCCACTGTGCCACTCGGATGCTTAAACATACCCCCTTATTAGTGAAAAGCTAAAGACCGTAACATACTCCACTACTATACTAAAAACGACATATTTGAATTAAATATACAGTCCCAGTCCGACGATGGTCGGTCCGAACGATACTTAATACTTTTAATACTTTTGACCTCAATAAAGGGTCTGTAAAACACAAAGTATGGACTTTTCAAATAATGTATTTCCAAGTCAAGAATTTCGGCTCTCGCCATCAATGATTTAACATGTGACACTTTCGTTATCTATATACTTTAAATTCAATATAGCCCA